ATTCATACTAACAACAGACGCATCTAATGCAAGTTGCTCAGCAATTCTAAGTCAGAACTACGAGGGAACAGATTTACCAATAGCTTACGCATCGCGCAGCTTCAACAAAGGAGAGCTTAACAAACCTATAATAATTAAAGAATTACTTGCAATCCATTGGGGAATCAACCATTTCAAATGTTATTTATACGGAGCACCAACATTTTTGATAAAAACGGATCATAAACCACTAACACACCTATTTTCAATGAGAGATCCTACCTCAAAACTCACAAGAATCAGATTAGATTTAGAGGAATACGATTTCGAGATAGAATATATAACAGGGAAAAATAATTACGCAGACAGTCTGTCGAGAATATCAACAAATCAGTTGAAAGACTTATATATAGACAACAAACATATTTTAGCTATAACCAGAGCTCAATCAAAGAAGAAAGCCGAAAGTGCGAAGCACAGGGAGATAGAAGAGGAAATTATATCACAACATAAAACCCACAAGCAAACAGTAAGAAAGGTACTAAACAACATGGAGGCGCATAGACTACCAATTTTGTCTTTTGGAGCAAACCGAGTCTCACCAAGACTGAGCATTCGGGTCAAAAACAAAATCAAATGCAGCAAGAGCATGACCACAGGATTTAATCACTTTGATTTAGGTCAATTGTTGGTACAGCTTGATCAGCTAGCGGTAGAGAATGCAATAAGTAAAGTAAAAATATATTTAAATGATATTATTTTTAAATCGTGCACAATTGAAGAATTCATAAACGAAGGAAATAAGATATTGAAAAATGTAGAAATATACATATGTGAAGTACCAGAAGTCATAGAGGACGAACAAGAAAAACTAAGAATAATAGAAGAATACCATAATCACCCGATGTTTGGAGGTCATGTGGGAAATAATAGACTTGTAAAGAAACTAAAAGCAAGATTTAGATGGAAGAACATGGAAAAGGACGTACGTAAATATATTAAAAAGTGCCATAAATGCCAAATTAATAAACCAAAAAGATCACATGTCGAAGAATTTGTGATATCGGACACTTCGTCAAAACCATGGGACATAGTGTATATAGACACGATAGGTCCATTCCCTAAAAGTAGTGAAGGCAATCGATACTGTATCACGATGATTTGCGAACTGACGAAATACGCAGTAAGTATCCCAGTAGCTAATAAAGAAGCTGAAACGATAGCTCGTGGAATTTTTGATAATTTCATACCTACATACGGACTCATGAAACAGATTAGAACGGATCAAGGCACGGAATACAAAAATGAAGTAATGAATGAATTAACTAAAATGCTAAAGATCACACACAATTTTTCAACAGCATACCACCCTCAGTCAATAGGGAGTTGTGAGAAGCTACATAGGACACTAAATGAATACGTAAGATCATTCATAGACGACAACAAAGAAAATTGGGATATGTGTTGCAGAATGTTCACATACTGTTACAATACTACCCCTAATGCATATCACGGTTACACACCTTTTGAATTGTTGTATGGGCGAAAGGCAAATTTACCAGAAGATCTCACACAGGAAATTCAACCATGCTATAACACAGATGCCTATTACAATGAGCTCCGATATAAACTACAAATCGCACACGACAGAGCTAAAACGTTCTTACTAAAACACAAAAAGAAAAGACAAGACGCAAGCAAGCTAACTGCAGCACCTCAACATTTTAAAATAGGAGATCTAGTCCTGCTCCAAAGAGAAGAAAATAATAAGTTTGATAGTCTTTATGCAGGTCCTTTTGTCATAACAGAATTAAATAATGTTAACTGTAAAATTAGGCTAGATAACGGAAAGATTAGGGAGGTGCATAAAAATAGATTATACGCTTACAATCAGTAGACACAAGTGAACGCGGAGATTTTATGAGACAATATTAATGATATCGCGGGAAAAGTGAACGGACAAATGAATAAACTATTTTACCACATATGTTTTAGAGTTAAGATAATGTATATATGTACACAGTAGCATAGGTAAACAGTACTTACTTGAGGTTGAAAAATTTCTCTTCTTCCGAAGGGAAGGAGAGAGAGGAATAAGACAGTTGTAAAAGAGAAATTTTTTTCCCAAAAGGGGATGGTGTAATATCAACCCTTAAATATCAGAATTACAGATAAAATAATATTATAATTCATACTCGTGTAACATTTGTTTATGTAAACATTCGGTAATTTGAATCAAGGACATTCATAAATAACATACTCTAATTAGAACTGGTAGTCAGCACTATTATTGCCGATCACCACATGCTTGGCGTAGGTCATGAACAAACTTGACATACTAATAAGTAAACATTTGCTGATATAGCAAGGACTACTATAAAAGCCCCAACAAACATTCTCTCGGGATCTTAATTATTATACCGACACGATGGCCAGCGTCAATTAAGTACTGATATATTTAAGTTTATAATAGTGAAGTATTGTACAAAGCAGTGATTAATAAATGGGCAACTAGTTACAACAATATTATTTACTACCCAAGATAATATTTACCATAAGACGCTAAAAAATTGTCAATATTAAAAGTAAGTATCAGTGCATTTTAGTGTTAAAAAAAGGTACTACATTAAAATTGTCATAAATTAATGATAAGTACAATAGTTCTTTGAGTTCAGTCGCAGTCAGCGGCCCTATTTTTAGGGCCGCTGACTGTGACAACTTCAGGATTAATTAATATTTCTCTTTGAAAGTGAGAAAGAAAGGAGTGACGATCACGCTGAAATCAGTGACATATCAGACGAAGATTCGGATGATGGCATGCTCTTGGCAACCCAGCTTTTAGGGGAGAGTAACACGGCAAAAGTAACACGGCAAATTCTATTCCTAAAAAAGACAGTAAATAATGGAAGAGAACACATTTTACACCACAATTTTCTCAATATCAACGCTTTGTGCAAGATCTCTTGAATCCCGAAAATATTCTAAAACCTATTGACTACTTTAATAAATACATCTTCAACAATTTTTTTGAATCCATGGCGTTGTACATAAATATGAAGGAAGTAAAAAAACTGGAAAATCTTTGGAGACTTCTGCAGAAGAATTAAAAACGTTTATTGCATGCTGCTTGCATATTGGTATTTATAATTTACCACGAATCCGAATGTTTTGGCAAATGGATACCAGGGTACAAAATAGTTTCAGGCAAAATGTCAAGAAATCGTTTTTTTGCCATACGAACATGACTTCAAATTTTTGACGATAATTCTGTAACTAAGGAGACTAAAGAAAATGATAGATTCTGGAAAGTAAGACCATTGTTGGATCAAATTCAAAGGGATTATCTGAATAACGAAAGAACTGAAAAAGTGTGAATCAATAAGTAAATGATTCCCGTTCATGCAAAGTGTTAATGAGACAGTTTGTGCGAGGAAAACCTAAACCCCTAGGATTAGAGAATTTTGTTATGACGACTACGGGGGGAATCCACTTGATTTTCACATGTATGAAGGTAAAGGCAGATTTATTGAATCCAGCTTGGTACTTACACCAGAACGGCTGGATATCGGGGAAGGGTTGTTTTAAAACTTACAGATACTCTTCCAGTATCTATTTTTGTTGACAGATATTTTACGTCAAAAATATTGATTGATGCATTACATTCACAGAAGCTTTATGTAAGAGGAACACTAATGAAAAATAGAATACCAAAAACTGATGTGACATTTAAGGCAGATAAAGATCTAAGAAAATCAGGAAGTGGCTCCCACGATATGCTCGTTAACAAAGACAACAAAATAGCTGTTACAAAATGGTTTGATTCCAAACCAATCTATATAGCTTCATCAGCATTTGGAGCTGAACCCTTGGGATTGTGTAGGCGCTGGTCAGTAAAAGATAAAAAATACATAGAAATAAATCGTCCAGCAGTGATTAAGCACTACAATGAAAGCATGGGTGAAGTAGATTTGCTGGATAGGATTATGTCAAAGTACCCTATGAGCAGTAGAACAAATAAATGGACAATACGATGTATTTACGCCTTTATTGATTTTTGTGCTGCAGCTAGTTGGCTACAATACAAGAAAGATTGTTTAGCTGCAGAAACTCCCAAAAAACATATTCAAGATTACCTGTCATTTAAGTTTTCGCTTGCTAGGTCGCTCTTGTACTCCAAGAACAGAAGTGAACCCACATCCGACGAAAGTGACGAAGAAAATGAAAATGTAACCAGAAAAAGAAGAAAGACTGCACCAATCCCTGATAAACGCTTACGGTCAAAGGAAGCTAAACACCTCCCAGAATTCGTTAATGAAAGCCAAAAATCAAGATCAAAATGCAGGTATCCTGGATGCCACAACCTGACGTTTGTCAAATGTGCCCGGTGCAAGGTTTTTTTATGTTGTAGTGTCAATATAAATTGTTTTACTAAATTTCATCAATAAAAATGATAAGTAAATATTAATTTTTTTATTGCCATTAGTCAAGATTATTATCATTATTTTAATGACGAATTTAAAATTCTTCACATTCAAAATAAATGCCTTAAGCTATCTTTGTTAGAATTTATCGAAATTAACGAATTAAAAAACACAGATATAATTTTGAATGACCAACTTGAGACAAACAGTTCTCATTCCTCAACCTATTTCGTTACAGACTATAAAGTGTAAACGCATGCCAAAAATAGATCACTTGTGAAAGGCAATCAGCCGAAACAGCTGTAGTGATAAGATTATATAATAAATTTTTGTGGAAGTTTTAAAAACAAAGTTTACAGTGTTTTATTGTTACATTGATGGTTTAGTTTTACAAGTGTCCTATCGTAACAAATTGGGAATTTAATTTGGAGTTCCATGATCTAAGAAATATCATGGAAACTTTTTATCCTGCCCTTTACTTAAATTGTCTATTCAGGAAGTCAGAATCTACAACTACCTTTGATTTTAACATAAACTTTAATAAAAAAACATACAAATTTTCCTAGAAAACTAAACACTCATGAATATTTTATTTTTTAGCGTTATTGGCGATAGCCGCTGCGGGCCTCTTTGCCTTACAAACCGACGACAGGGAACACAATGGATTCGAAATCACCCGAGGTCCTGCCTTTTACATTCAGGTTGGTTGGCAAATACTGATTCGATATTCTGATCTTCCTCTGAGAGGAGAGCAATACTCCTTAAAATCTTTACTTAGTACTCCAGACAAATCTGTTTACTTTTACTCTAAACGGAATTAGATTTCTGTTTTATCTCGTGTTTCTAAAGTAAAGGTAATGTGTTTGCATTGTAAATGGGAAATGAACACTAAGCTCTAAAATACTACTAATATAAAAATATGTTTTGTATTCAACTTTATATACCAAAATCACTATCTATAGTGTGACCCATTACATAAAAACTTCAATAACAATTTCAATAATTTTTTGTAACAGTTAAGTACAAAAAGTTGTACTTTGGATAATAAATAATAGATATAATAGATATTTCTGTTTGTTTTGCAGACAATAAAAAGTTTACCTTCTTATTCACTTTTTGTAGCATTTTTATGGCAAGGTTTAACTGATGTACCGGGTGGTCCAATAAGCCGATCTCTCGGCTGTATATCAGAAACTATTCATGTTATAACTTTAGGAGAAAAAATTCCTTAGTAAAAGTGGCCAAGAGAAATCGCTGGAAATAACTTTCAAGATTCTGGATTAACCGCTAGGGGGCGTAACCTGCGAAGAAAATTTTGAAAACCAGTTTTTTGGGAAATATGTCCAATTATACCAAGTGTTAAATAAGTAAACTAGAAAGAGGCATAAATTCTGCACAAAGTTGTTCAAGTACTTTTTTTTATTTTTTCAAATAAAGGGTGGGGGAGAGTGGGAAAGTATTTGTGGATAAATACCTATAACTTTGGTTTGGATCAACCGATTTTAACAAAATTAGTGTCATTAGAAAGAGTATGGATGAATTAATTTACATCTACTATAAAATAATTGCATTTAGTTTTAATTGTCGTAGGTAGAGGGTACTTTCGAATAGAAAAAATTAAAATTTGTTTTTCTTCAAAATTTTTAATGGAAACACCTATTTATTGTAAATTATAATGGAACTGGATTAAATTCGTAACAAAATGGCGCAAACCGCATGTTAATAGCTTTTATCGAACTCGAGATATGAATAAAAACGCATAAACATAAGTAAGTATAGTATTGACACACCCTGTATTATAAAATAAATTAAAAAATAAGTCAGTAGGTACTTTCAAAATTTTTTATAGCAGAAAACTCTTAATGTTGATACCTATTTTGACCATTGTTATTTCATATGATTAAAAATTGTTTTTTCGAAACTAAGTAGGCTACGACAATGAATTTGACAGGGAGTTCATATTGTTTATTTATTGACAGCAGTCAAAATATTGTTAAGAAGTGTTATATGTATTATAATTCGAATTGAAAATTGCATTTTTTTCAATAGATATTAATATTGGTAATATTAGTAATTAATTATCAGTACTAATAATTCGTGATGAGTATATCAAATTGTATGATATGATTGGAGTTTATTTCGAATATCACCAAAATGGCGCTATTGCCTCACGTATATATTCTGTAAGATATCCTGGCAGGAGATATTGTGGCAAAGAAGTAGAGATTTCGGACTACTTATATGTGGATTCTGTTGAATTAAAGCAAGAACATTGATTGAATTATCTTCGGTCATAACTCTACTACGTCGTTTAAAACAAGGACGAGAAAAACTACCAGTTTCTCTTAATCTTTTTGCCTTTCTTTCAAATACTTCTTTGCCATAATGTCTCCTGTCACGATATCTTACAAAATATATACGTGAGGCAATAGCGGCATTTTGGTGACATTCGAAATAAACTCCAATCATATCATACAATTTGATATACTCATCACGAATTATTTGTACTGATAATTAATTACTAATATTACCAATATTAATATCTATTGAAAAAAGTGCAATCTTTAATTCGAATTATAATATAGCACTTCTTAACAATGTTTTGACTGCTGTCAATAAATAAACAATATGAACTCCCCGTCAAATTCATTGTCGTAGCCTACTTAGTTTCGAAAAAACTATTTTTTACAAAATAGGTATCAACATTAAGATTCTTCTGCTATAAAAAAATTTGAAAATACCTACTGACTTATTTTTTAATGTAATTTATAATACAGGGTGTGTCAATACTATACTTACTTATGTTTATGAGTTTTTATTCATATCTCGAGTTCAACAAAAGCTATTAACATGCGGTTTGCTCCATTTTGTTACGAATTTATTCCAGTTCCATTATAATTTACAATAAATAGGTGTTTCCATTAAAAATTTTGAAGAAAAACAAATTTTAATTTTTTTTATTTGAAAGTCCCCTCTACCTACGACTATGAAAACTAAATGCAAGTATTTTATAGTAGATGTGAATTAATTCATCCACACTCTTTCTAATGACACTAATTTCATTAAAATCGGTTGGACCAAACCAAAGTTATAGGTATTTATCCACAAATACTTTCCCACTCTCCCCCACCCTTTATTTGAAAAAATAAAAAAAAAGTACTTGAACAACTTTGTGCAGAATTTATGCCCCTTTCTAGTTTACTTATTTAACATTGTATAGTATATTTGAAGAATAAGCTGGAGTAAATTCTCAGAATACTAATCTTCGCACCTCGAAATACATAGGCGTGCACATCTTCTAACTAAAACGCAATCTTAAAAGAAAAGTTTGCGTTAAATTTATTGGGATATTTAGAACAAAGTAATTAATCCAATCCAATACCGGTTTAAAATAAAAAGATACACATAAAAAGAATAAAAATTCTATTATTTGTGAAACATACAGTTAATATAAAATAATAAAATACAATAAATTATACTGAAACGTAAAATACATACACAAAAACTGTAAGTTTTTATATATTCCTATTAATAAATAATAATATTCTTAATACTAATAATATTGGAGAAAAGAATGAAAATTAAATTAGCAATAAAAAATAAATAAAAAATAAACAATGAAGTTGTCGGCAAATGTAAAATAAACTTCTGAGCTACAGTTTAAAGTTAAGCTTCCTCATATTCTGTTTCAGACGAAGTGTTATCCGATCCGGGATGAATTATTATAGGTTCTATACAGCTATCTATTATATGATCAAGCTCCCACATATTTTTCTCAATATCCATAACGTAATTAATACATTTTTGTCAATGTTTAGTCGTTACTTCGGATATTGATTTATGAAAAAGAATAGTAACATCTGACAATTTAAAAGTTGTATTATTTCGAGCTACGTTACTTTTAACTTCGGCCCATACTAATTCAATCGGATTTAGCTCGCAATGATACGGCGGTAGGCGAAGTATTTCAATTCCTCGTTTTTTGGCTATTTCCTCAATGACATATTTTTTATAATTTTGTTTATTTATTTTAGCAAGCTCTAATAATTCTGCTTTTGTCATTGTATCGTCAAAGATTAAATTCTTAGAAGTTACCCACATTGCAATTTCATCTTTCCTCCATTGAGTAGTTGGTAAACGTTCAACTAATCTAGAGTGGTAACTTGCATTGTCCATCACAATAACTGAATTTTTAGGTATGAATTCAATCATCTGTTCGAAATATTCTTCAAACACGTCTCCGTTCATCTCTTCGTGATAATCACAGGTCTTTTTTGATTCAAACAAAAGTAAACTCTCATTAAGAAAACCATTCATACTACCTATATGGGTAACAATTAATCGTCGACCTTTACCTATTGGTTCCTTGAAACCAGGTGAATATCCTTCCAGAAATGCTTGTCGACATGTTTTTATAGTTTTGTCTTTCCAAACTCTTCCTACAATATGCCCTTCATTAACCCACGTTTCATCTAAATAATAAATGTTTTTATTTTCGGTCCTCATTTTTTTTATTTTTCTAAGGTAGTCTAGTCTCAAACACACAATTTCTTCGGAATCGATAAGCATTGACTGTCTGCCCACTTTTTCATACTTAAAGTTTAACTCATGCAAAGTTTGTCTCTACTTATTGTGGGTAAATCGGAATCGTCGGTAATAGCTTGTAAAACTTTATATAAAGTTGGTATTTGTTTGTTAAAAAAAATGAGTGGACCATTCTACGAATTGCATTTTTGAAAAATTCATCCAAATTCACTTTCGACAATTTTGGTCTTCCTGGTCTCGGTATGGGTGGCGTTATACCAGCTGATTTTTCCTCTTTTAAAATGTTATATACAGTTGATTTTGAATATCCCACTACTTTAGACGAAATTTCAACTATACTATCAACATTATTGGAGGGATTGTCTTGCTTAAAATAATTGTAGACGTTAAGGATAACATCTTTTCGTTAAGTGATAAATGATTCAACTTTAATTTTTTAACTAGTGTATAATCACACGTTAATTCCATATTCTATATAATCACTATTCACTCTTGCAAAAAACAACTGTGTCAGATCTCTTCACTCGCTTATAATCGACTAAACAAAAATTTTCTGATATTAATGAATGACTATTTAAAGACCATTAACCATTTTATTAATCATTGGTTTTCCAAACAAAATCGAAATTTATACTATTTAAGATAGCGTTCACATTTATCAGAAACCATATTTCGCTAATCGACTTTTTCTATCTAAACTATCAAAAGACAATTAACTAAATACCTATGTATTTTAAGAGTTTCTTTATTTCTGGTTATTTAATGGGTCATTATCATAACGACAAACATAACTATAAATAACGTTACTAAAATAAACAGATTTATATAAATATAATATGCTTTGAAAACGGTTTAAATATCTAACAAACCGAAACAAATAATGTAATACCCTTAAAGTACGTCTATGATCAGCAGAAAAAACCCTAGCCTACACAGTTCTAACAATAGCAGGTATTTAAATTTTACGATAGTCCATGTGACATGGAAAAATTTCTATCTAAATAGTCAAACCCAACGTAAAATAAGCTAAAATATTGAAGTTGTACGAAAATCACACGTACTAAAATATGATTAACAATTTAGTTTTTTTTTCTGAGAATTTACTCCAGCTTATTCTTCAAATATACTATAGTATAATTGGACATATTTCCCAAAA